ACTACAATATCTAAAAATACCAGTGAAAATTCATCTTAAAAGATCCTTCGTTCTTTTCAACAATGCTTACATTAGTTCAAAAACTTTTTGGAACTGGGTAGGTTTATCACGTTAGGAGATATTGAAAGCGACTGTTATCATAATGCTTAGAATTGCTTCAAACCTCAGATCATTGAAGGATTTTTTCGACTTTTACAATGTTCTTTCGATCATCACGCTCCCAATATAAAAGCGCTTGCTGCTACATAAACTATTCTATTCGTTTTGTAAGCTAGCCAATAGAAATTCAAGATGGCTAAGATGCCTTAGTAGAGCGCTTTTTTTTGTCAAAAATAACGTTTAGTTGTATTGTTTCCTTTTAGCTCTAAATAGTAGGTCCAAGGAGCTATGATCAATGCGAATGGATGTATACACACTCTGACCTGGAGTAACAACACCACAACATACAGAATACACGCTTATATCTATTGATACACTCTTACAGAATAGAGAATTAGCTAGAAAACTTTTAAGTGTTCCGGCTATATCGGCACCCATTGAGCGTATTTTTTCTTAATCACAATTTTTGATTAGACGCGAAAGAGCACGTTTTACGAAAAACAATCTATCTCAACTGGCATTGTTAAAATGTAATAGACGTTTACTTCAGTAACTGTTTCTGTTTCAACAAGATTGACATATTAAATGACACAGAAAAAAAAGAAATAACCCGCAATCATCAAAAAAGAATCTAAAAGATAACCGGACTCGAAATGGACTCGGAGCCGGTCCTTGATGTTCAAGTGCATTATTATATTTCTCATTGTAAACTACAGAACTGCTTGCACAAGTACCTGCTCCGGTACTTTGCTGGGCTTTTCTCCATACATTTGTTGATACAGATTCCCCAGTAAGTACGCGCTCGGTCGACATACTGATATAGGTACCTGAGAAAGTACCCTTGTTAGTAAAGTTACCAAAAAATTTTCAAAGTACCCGAAACGAATATCCTGCTGGAACTTGCTCAGTACATGAGTACCCTCAACTCAGTCTATTCACTAGTGTAAAGAGTTTCAATCAGGTACACAGTTTATGGAAAAACATATAGTTACTCAAACGCCAAACCCGTCATAATTATCTCACTCTAATATAGAAAACTATTATCTTATTTGGTGTGGTATGAATATAAATTTCATAGAAGAAAATCGTCAAACACATGATACGTCAAGCAATAAATTATGTTGAAATATTTGATAATGTCAATGATAGTTGCGAATATACTCAACGAACGGAAGAAGAAAAAGTTGTTGCTATTGTTTTGGTAGTTTAGAGCAACAGTGCATACCAAAAGTACACAACTTAACATAGTTAGTAACAGTACGAACAAAGATGGAAAGGAAAATCTGAGACGTTTATTCATGTAAGTTAACTACGCGAGCTTCCCAAGACAAAAGCGAAGACAAGTGGAATGTTCATTTGGTGAAGATAAATATATGTGTGATTATAAGAGTTCAGCTGCATCAGTAATTCGGAAGAATATAAATGTGTCGAAAGCCTAAGTCGGCATTTGGTACTGTTCATTTCAAAGAGAAGAATTGATCAATGAATATCAGTGTAACTGTGCTACTTAAAGATGCTGATTTATAGCATCAGTTAGAGTAATTACTGCTACCATTTAGATAGACAAAAATATTTTATTATAAATAAAAAACTCACAGGTTTTTACAAAATTCCGATTTCCCCATAATATTTTAGTTAAAATGCAACGAAAGAGCATATCATTATCGTCGTAATTATTCGGACTAATATAGAATTATTAAGCATTTTACAGTAAATAATAAATCCAGGTTTTATATTGTATAGAAAATGCGTTCGATTTTCTGAAATATCGATATTGTAGAGCGCAGACTATTTTTAACAATTTCCTATAAAAATTTAAACAGCATCAGAAAACGATGAAGTTTTGATTTTCGCGTTACGAAAGTATGTAGCGTATGCTAACTATCTTCGTATTCCATTTGTTTTCAGTGGTAATATCGTGGGATACTTGCTCAATCTGAGCGCATAATATTCGATGGACCATTGTTTAAAGCTATTCATTTCTAAATAATGATATAATGCGGAAATTGAGTGAACAAGATAAAGGATATTTAGACGATTTAGAGTCTGAAGTTTCAGGAATGCTCCAGCAAGTATCTGTTTTATTTCTTTTACGCTTCCACATTTCACCTTACTTTTTCCCATGCAAAAGAACTAATAAGACTTTCATTTAAACCGGACACATAACATGTACTGTATGCTAATGATGATTGTATGAAAAATCAACGGTTGAGCATTATTTTATTCTCGTCTTATTTATACATAGTTCGATAGAGCTAATCAAGCTGATCAAGAATATATAGTTTTTAATCATCTAAACATGGATTTTGACGATAAAAATTTGAAAATACTAAAACCGTCTACATTTTTGAAAAACCGTTCCGCCGAGAAACTTTCAAATTTTTTTCCTTCTTTTACATTGAAGCTCCATGACTTATTTTATCTGATTCAGTACATCAGACTGAGCCTAGAACGTTATTTCTCGGTTCTCGTGAAGCACCGTGACCGTGGTTTGATTCCTCATGAGAAATTAGAATGAAAACGCACTATTGATAAAGCTACAAAAGATATGTTTGTCTGTCATCATTTAAAAGAATCCTTTCGTTTACTATAAAATGAATTCTATTTCCTTGAATTGTCACTACCTGCTGTAAGTTTGTTTGGTATTGTGCGATTATTTGCATATCCACATACCGCTCGTCGACAAAAACATTATTCACTTCAATTGTCTTTGTTTCACGCAAGGAACAAGTGATCAAATGCCAGATGATGTGCTGTTTAAGAATATACTTCGTCCATGACACATTGTCAATGCAGCTTCCAAATATGATTTGCTTGCGAAACACAATGCCAAAGCGCCTTGTGTTGTGCGCCTACTTGTACCCTCAAATGTGAATACATATGGACTCGTACATCGGGTTTTGGACCATATAATGCAGACAAATTTTTATAATATTTGTTGAACAATAATTCTATATCATCCAGTTCTGATGCCATTTCATAGTGATATAGGGTACGAATGTGTATAAATTGGTAGAGAAAATGTATGGCATATTTGTTGGGTAAAAATAGAATATCTGTTTCAGAAGTCTCACTAGCTAGCTTGATGACCATTTTACAAGCATCATGGATCGCTAATTGACCGCCAGCGTAAACTTTTCATTCATAATTGACGTCACTCGCACAAATCAATTCCTCGAGTTGAGCATCATCGTCTTCACTAGACGAAGAAGTATCAGCACTAGTAGTAGTATTTTGTTGCTGTGGAGCCATATCGTCGGCTTGGAAAGATGCAGGGAGCTGCGGTTGATCGTTAAATGATGCGGATCGCGGATAGGCGT